CTTCACCCGGAGGGCCCTGAGGAGTTCAGGAATAACTACTGCACCACATACCATACAGGCACTCCATCTGGAACGGGTTAACCCCAAACTAGGTGCTCTTGCCTAGGCAGCATTAGTAGAGGCTGCCTTTGCTCTAGGGCCCTTTCTGTGTCGACAGACTGGTGGGATAGCAGAAAATCAGACCTGAGATACAACACGGTGCTGTGGGTGAGCAGATCCCCCCCAGGGTGTCCCCAGGACTAGTGAACTCTCCATTCTGACATGGAGGTACCCAAAAGGGTTGTATAATTTGTGGGGCCCTAAGGAGTAGAGCCCCTCTTGGGCTGAGCTGTATGATTATCTTTATTACAGCACTGTTATGTTTGTCCAGTTTAGTGATTTAATATCAGTTTAAAGCTTTCTCTGCTAGCAATGCTGTTTGAAGTCAAGCTTTTTTTTTGGCCTCAAACAAATAACCCAACTTGCCAAGACTGTAAAATGTTTATGGCTAATGGTGGAAAATCTTAAAGAAGCCAAGATAACTTTCCCAGGCTGGGTATTAAGACTGTTTGGATAAGTAAATGAATGAAGAGTATTACATGGCCTTCATTAAATATCAACCAACCCCAACAGCCATTCATTTATAACACAACGGCAGGCCATGGGAGCAACCAGGAGCAGCAGAGCTGAGAAAAGCGTGTTGCAAGGGATGGGAGATATGAACATGAGAAAGGCTGCGTTTCTCCAGGTGTGGCCTCCAAGGTCAGGCAGCACAAACCTTGCCTGAAACTGCTGCAAAACACTGTGACTTGGGAGCCAGGGAGGTGGCAGCGCAGGTGCGTGTGGTGTGGTGTGTCCTGCAGCTGTGGGTAAGGACAGAGCTCTGCAGCTAGGAGAGGTCTGCTGATGCCTGGATGTTTGTTTTCTTTCTTTCTTTTTTTTTTTTCTTTTTGGCTGTTTCTGCTTCCCTATAGAAAGGTTTTGCCTGGTTTCTAGGCACAGGACTCTTACACCAGTTAGAAGAAATCAGCAGAAACTCTTGCTACCATTCCTGCCATTTCGTGCACCAGTACTTTCAAAATCCCTCATTTAATTGGGTGGACGCTTGAATTCCCCACTTCCATTCCCCACCCACTGTTGTCCTCCATTTCAGCATTATCCACATAAGGAAAATTGAGGCAAGATAGTTAATTTGGGGCCATCCCCAGATTGTATTTTGTCTTAGTCCCTCCTCACTTTGCAGTTTTCTCACTTCTACTTTTCAAATTATCTTTTACCCACCCGACGCTCTTTTTGCTCTTGTTCCAATATCCTTTTCCACATCTATCTCAGTTTGGTTGCTGAAGTTTTGCATTCCCTACCCATCTTGCACTCCCAAACAGACCTTTCTTGACAAATCAACCCTTTCAAGTATCCCTGCATAACCCTAACAGGCAACAATAGTAGTTATGGTCTAATTTGCAGAGAAGCAAACTGGAGTCCCAGCTCAGCACACATGCTCGCCTGGCTGGACCCAGCGCAGCGCTGGACGGGAGCATCAGCACAGAGACAAATCAGGATCTTCCACTTCTCTGCAGGGAAACACCTAGGACACATTACAGCTGCTGAAATGTCTGCACATCTCTTGTGGCTGCATAAATTTGCCAGTCACCGTATCACTGCAGTTCTCAGACTGGGGAGGGTAAAACATTGGAGCAGAAATAAAGCAGAGCAGTGTCTCATGCCAGAGAAAGGCCGAGTTTCACAGGGAGGGCTCCTGAGCTTCCCAGCTTTGTCTATCTTTGACTCCCTCTCCTGGCTGAGAACATCGGTTACACCCAAGAGAAAAGAGCAAAGCGCAGTGATCTCACGGGACACGCTCCAACCTGGGGCAGTTCCCACAGCACACGGAGTCCTTTTTGCAATCTCTTGGTACAGCAAAGGGCAGTGGGGCTGAACCTGTGCCATTTTTTCCCCTGTCCCTACTGCTCCCTGTCAGGTTCCATAAATTCTGGCAAATCGAGGGAGTCATCATCTTTCCTGTTATGTCTGTGAATTTCAGGCAGCGAGGTCTGTGTGGTGACTGGGAAACACAACGTGCTTGGGGCCATTTGGCCATCCAGAGCTCAGCCCCCTTCACCCAGCCTGGGCAGAAAGGAGCTCAGATGGAAAAGACCACAGCCTTCCTATACTAGCAAAGGACACACATTTCTCTTGTCTAAAATCAATCAATAAATAAAAATCTGCATTCTGGCTACAGCATGTCTCGGATGTGAGTCTCTCGCATCCCCTTCACTCTTCCATCCCACCACAGGCACCACTTCCCTGGACAGAGCAGCACTGCTTCAAGGCTCCCCTAGCTTTGCGGCTTTAAGCAGGTAAAATTAACTGATTGTTCCGGGTTGGGCTCACTCGTGAGACCATGCTGGGAGGGAAAGGCTTCCAGGGCCCATGGATGGTGCTATAGCCCCATTTCCCAACAGGCTTTCACATCTGTTCGTATTTTCAGAGATTGCTCCTGCCTTGAATATATGTGCTAAATTACAGATGTTAGAGGCTGTCAGGGTGGCTTTGGAGGAAGGACCAGCACCCAGCAGGCAAAGGGACCTGGGGCAAAGCCATTTTTGTGTTAAGCATCTGATCACGACCACTCTCTGCAGAACAGTTTAAGATAAGACTCTATCTTAAAGAAAAAAAAATGTTATCAGTCAATAATGGTTGGAAAGATGAAGTTACAAAGCAGGATGAGAAGCAATGAATCAGCAGAACTGTCCTGCATGAACTGGTGTTTTGGATTGTCTCGCATCATAATGTGTAGACACTAATGAAGGAAAAAAAAAAACATATTTACTAATCCAAGGTATTTCCCAAAACTTGCCTTACTAGTGTTTTGTCCAGTCTAAGCAATAACATGATGCAATGTTACTGAAACATGTTTTACACGACTCAAGAGTTAGCTTTTAGAGAGATTCCCAAAGGAGTTCCCAATGGGGCTACACAAGAGATTTTCTGCTGAGGTTCTGCAGGAATTAGTCCTCATGTTGTTAAAATGCACCTCATATACAGTTATCCACATAAAGGGAGATTCAGAGTCACCCAGATTTGAAATTACTATAGTATCACTTTTAGAGTGAGAACAGGAAGCCAAGAAAAATGCAGAATTTTCCATTCCTTGATGTCCTCAGATGAGGACAGGCTGTGTCTCTAGAAGATGGCCTAGCGAGTGCAGAGGATACTGCTCAATACAGTAATAACTGGGCATTAAGGTAGTGGCTTAGCTGGGCAAGACAATGTGAGCTGGACCTTGAGCTGCATGAATCTGGCTAGAGGAACACAACAGGTTAGCCTGAACTCACCAAGCACATAAAAATAAAATACAATTGTGTTTGCGCAACCCGTGGTCAACCGGGAAAAAGCAAGGAGAGCTGTGCATGTCTCCAACGCACACCCGGGGCCAGGCATTTCATGCCCCTCCTGGGCCTCGTCCCCACGCAAGGTCTCTGCACCCCTGGGACCTGCCCTCATGGTGGGTGAAGGTGGTGGGGACGGGGGCTGCAGGAGCCCTCGCATGCACAACCCAACCTGAATCCTCAGCCGGTCCCACACAGGTGTGAGCAGGTCCCCATGGGCACCACAATGACCAGCACCACGCAAGGCTGTGGGGCACAGCCCGACCTGATCTCCAAGGGAGGTGGGTAGGTAAGTGGATGAGTAGGTGGCCGGGTGAGTGGTAGGTAGATGGTTGGTAGGTAGGTAGGCAGGTAGATGGGTGGGTTCGTGCCTGGGTAGGTACTAGGTAGGTAGGTGGGTAGGTAGATGTGTGGGTGGATAGGTAGGTAGGTGGGTAGATGCATGTGTGTGTGTGTCAGTAGGTAGGTGGGTAGGTAGATGGGTGGGTAGGTAGGTAGCTGGGTTGATGGGTGGGTTGGTGGCTGGTAAGTACTAGGTAGGTAGATGCGTAAATAGGCGAGTAGATGGGTGGACAGGCAATAGGTAGACGGGTTTGTGTATGGGTAGGTATGTGGGTGGATAGGCAGCTTGGTAAGCACAGAATCATGGAATCATTGTCGGAAAAGACCTTCAAGATCATCGATCCAAGTGTAAACCCACCATCACCACACTTCCTAGGGACCTACATGCTTCTTCTACACGTTTCTGGAACTCCACCACTCCCCTGTGACTCCACCACTTCCCTGGGCAGCCTGTTCCAATACTTCACCCCTCTTTCCACGTAGAAAGTTTGCCTAATATCCAAACTAAACCTCCTCAGACACAACTTGGGGCCATTTCCTCTTGCCCTACTGTAGTTATTTTGGAGAAGAGACCAACCCCCATCTCACTACAACCTCCTTGCAGGTAGCTGTAGAGAGTGATAAGGTCTCCTCTGGGCCGCCTCTTCTCCAGACTAAATAACCTCGCTCCCCAGCACGTGGGTAGGTGGATGGCTGGGTAGATGGGTGGGTAGTAGACAGGGGGGTAGGCAGTAGGTAGGGGGATAGGCAGTAGATAGGGGGCTGGGCAGGGGGTGGGGAGGTAGAGATGGGTGGGTAGGAGA